CACACACACACACACACACACACACACACACACACACACACACACACACATGTATCAGAATTACCCTAACCCTATTATATCTACTTCTGATATATATCATATACCTATCAAGAGCTAATGATATATATGTGTAAAAAGGTCTTCACAGGCGAGCATAGCAACGAGAGAGTGCATTCCCTGTTAACGTGTTCTGCTGAGAATAGGCCTACATCTATATTTATGATCGCAGAAACTATATCCGGGGGGAGGGGGGGGGGGCTAGAGCACCGACACAGAGGTATATCTATTTCCGTCCACCGTGGGTATTGTAGTACAATTGATAATGGATTACAGAGGAGGCAGCAAGTGGGTTATGTGAGAAATGGCGAGAAAGTGAGAGTGATATAGTGTGAGTAAGAAAGAAATGTAGAGAGTGAGATAGTGGGAAAGCGTGAGAGAGAGATAGAGAGAGAGAGAGAGATAGAGAGAGAGAGAGATGAAGAGAGAGTTGTTGATGAGGAAGAGCGAGTCGGAGTTCCTTGGCACGAGCATGTAGCGAGCACGAGTATGTGAGACACCGAACGCGCCCGCCTTTTCATCTTTCTTAACACGTCCTTCAATCCTACAGGCTAGCAGCTCCCCACGAGCATGTGCTCCTGATGATAAATCTGGGTCAAGGTGCTATCCCTGAATACGTGCTGTACCCTACCATGCACTTCCCGTACTGACACGGTAGCGGTGTCGCACCAGTCAGCACAGGAACTACCCCTGAAAACGCACTGCGCCCTATCATGTACATCCAGTATCTCATGTAAAGGTAGTACCGATCAGTAGAGGAATTATCCCAGATTTCGCACTATTCCCTGCCATGTACTCCCCGTATTTCCCGAAGCGATAATACCGGTCCGTGAAGGAACTATCCCAGATTATGTACCGTACCCTATCATATACTTCTCGTACATCCCGAAGCGACAACATCGGTGGTCGCTAATGGAAGTATCCCAGTGGGTTGGAGTAACTAGCAGGGCTTCAGTACAAGGGTGGGTGAATCAGGAAACCCGGTGTAAGTGCGATGTGGGGACAGACGCATAACAGATATATCGAGTTGATGGGAACTCATCCGCTGGAAACTCATGAGAGCGTGCCATCATGAGCAGGCATAACACATCCATCTCACACGCGCGCGCGCACACGTACAGCAACACGTAGCCATCTCACCGACACACTCGCGCACGCACACCAACACGTACGCACGCACCCCCACACGTGCGCACGCACACCAACATGTACACACTCACCAACACATGCACTTGCGCACGCACACTAACACACTCGCACACGCACAC